CCCTCTCTTCTTTCTCTCTCCATCTCTCTGTCTGTCTCTGTCTCTGTCTCTCTTTCTCTCTCTGTCTCTCTGTCCACCCCGCCCATCAGCTCCCATGGATTTAACCATTACCTTCTTACATATTACTCCCAAATGTCTATATCCAGCCTTAGCTTCTCCCTTATCTTCAGCCCCACACCACCAATTACCTACTAGTTTATTCCAAACTGGACGTCGAGGAGATGTCCCAAACCTGAACTCATTCTCTCTTCCCCAAACCCTGCATCTGCCAGACTTTGTTGTTTCTGAAGAAGGTGCCACCATCCTTTCAGGGTCCCAGGTTCACCATCTGCTTTGCCACGTTCTCTACTTCTCCCTCCTCCCCCTCCCCCACATCCATGCCAGATCTTGTGATTCCTACCTTCCTGATCTCTCCCATACTATCCCTCATCTCCACTCCTGCAGCTGCCACCTTCACTCACATTCCCTTATCCCCTCTCCCCTGGATTTGTTCAACAGCTTCCTTTTTGTCTCCCTGTCTCAAGCCTCTCTCCCCTCTAGTCCTTCCTACACCTTCCATGGCTCCCTATTGCCTCTCTGTTAAAGCCCTTCATAACCTGACCCCAACCTATCTTTCCAGACTCAGTGGATATTTGTTATTGTTGAGTCATTTTTCAGTCGTGTCCAATTGGGGTTTTCTTGCAAAGATACCAGAGTGGTTTGCCATTTCGCTCTCCAGCTCATTTTACAGATGAAGAAACTGAGGCAAACAGGGTTAAGTGACTGATCTGAGGCTGGATCTCTGTGATCCTCCTGACTCCAAGCCTGGCACTCTATTCACTGTACCACTTAGCTCTAGTAATACTTATCAGTATTAACATCCCCCACGTATATTACTTACCCTCTTGTACTCTTTGATCCAGCCAAGCTGGTTTTCTCTCTGTTCCTACATCTCTGTGTCTTGGCACTGGCTGCCTCCCCCCATGTCACCCTCCTTACTTCTGCTTCCTGGCGACCCTTCCTTCCCCTTCTGCATGTCTTTCCTGATCCCCAAAACTGATGTTGACTTTCCTCCCAAACTCCCACGATTTAACTATATTCTACGTCTCTGTACTTATGCCCTTTACATTTGCGCTCACATGTACTTGCGGTCTCCCCTATGAGAACATCAGTTCCTTATGAGGAGGGATTTTCATTCTTTGCCCCTGCATACTCAGCGCGCCCGTGCTAGGCACTTCATAAATACTTGTTGATTAATTGATGGATCTAGATGCCACAGAGACAAAGCTGGAATAGGCCCTGCCCTCAGTGACCTTACATTCTAATAGGTAGAAAACATCCATACAGCAGGCACAAGGTCATTTAGGGGGCAAGTGCTGGTGGCTGAGACATTGGGAAGGGGCCAGCATAGATGGGGGCACTTTAACTGAGCTTGGCAGGGAGCCCGGGATTCTCAAAGGTTGAGGGGAGAAAGGATGGCATCCTGGGCGGGGGGGAGAGGGGCACCCTGTAGGGCAAAGGATCATTGACTTAAAATGGGAAGAAACCTCATATCGTCTAACCCAGGGGTTCTTAACTTTTTTGGAACCGTGGACCTCTTGGGCAGTCTAGTGAAGACAGAGAGACACACAGAGAGAAAAACAGAGAGAGAGAGAATCCCCTCTCAGAATTGTTTTTAAATGCATAAAATAAAGTACATAGGGTTACAAAGGAAACTAATTATATTAAAATACAGTTATAGAAAAAAAAAATTTTAAAACAAGTTCATGGACCCCAGGTCAAGAACCTCTGATATAGCCCAAATTCCACATTTTACAAATAAGTAAACTGAGGCCCAGAGAGGGGAAAGGATTTGCCCAAGATCACACAGGTAGCAAGTGGACATAGGCTCCTAGACCCAGAGCTACGAGAGATCTCTGAGGCCATATCATCCAAACCCCTATGTTGTGGGGGAGACTGAGCCTCAGGAAGGTAGTGACTTGCCCAAGGTCTACAAGGTAACGTCAGAGGTGAGATTTGAACCCAGGGCTTTGGAACCTTTCCAGTGCCCCAAAAGAAATCCTCCCTTTGCAAACTTTAAAACCATTCATCTAACTTTTCTCTGTCTCTCCTGTCTCTCCATCTCTCTCTATCTCTGTCTCTGTCTCTGTCTCTCTTTCTCTGTGTGTCTCTGTCTCTGTCTCTCTCTCTCTCTCCCTCTCTCTCTGTGTCTGTCTCTGTGTGTGTGTATGTCTCTGTCTGTCTCTGTGTTTGTGTGTGTGTCTCTCTCCCTCCATCTCTCTCCCTCCCTCTCTCTGTCTCTTTCTCCCTCTCTGTCTCTCTGTCTCTGTCTGTCTGTCTCTCCTTCTCTCTCCATCTCTCTCTACCTCCCTACCTCCCTCTCTGGTTGTCTCCCTCTGTGTGTCTGCCTCTGTCTCTGTCTCTCTGTCTCTCTCTCTCTGTCTCTGTCTCTCTCTGTGTCTGTCTGTCTCTCTCTGTGTGTGTCTCTCTCTGTCTCTCTCTTTCTCTGTGTATGTGTCTGTCTCTGTCTCTCTCTGTCTCTCTGTCTCTGTCTCTCTCTGTGTTTGTGTGTGTCTCTCTCCCTCCCTCTCTCTGTCTGTCTCTGTCTGTCTCTCCTTCTTTCTCCATTTCTCTCTACCTCCCTACCTCTATCTCTGTCTGTCTCTCTCTGTGTCTCTGTCTGTCTCTCTGTCTCTGTCTCTGTGTTTGTATGTGTGGCTCTCTCCCTCCATCTCTCTCCCTCCCTCTCTCTGTTTCTTTCTCCCTCTCTGTCTCTCTGTCTC